GAGAGGGTTTATATCTAGCAACCACAGCCGTCTTACTTTGTGCTAGGTACAACTACAATCGCAAAGTTATTCCCTTAGTGCACACCTACTCCAGTTTTGCTAGGGCTCCTTGAAGGTCAGTCAAATGTCACCTTGATCTCAAGGGCTGTCACTCTCACCTTTAATATTCAGCTCTTTTGTCCACTTTCAGACCAGAGCTGTAATAAGGTCATTACATCATCTAATGGGTGAACCTTATGGAACCCAAACTGAGCAACGGTGAGCAGGTTATTCTTTTGCAAGTGCCAGCTGATAGTCCTTGGATGGTCAAAAATGAACCAATAGGGCAGTTATTGGTTAGGTTGGATTTGCCCTGCTTTTTGTGCATAGGGCAATTTTTCCACATTGTTGAGTTATTACCAGTGTTTTAACTATGCTGGAGCAGCTTGGCTTGGGGCACAGTTAGCTCTGGAGAACAAGTATTCACACTACTGCAGAATGGTGTCAGGGCTATAGCCATTGTAGTATTCAATAATCTAAGTGGTCAAACATTGGCACCTGTGATACAGAGAATCTCGGAAGGACACCAAGATATATGATCGACTTGGCACTTGTGGCTGGCTGGATGTAAATACTTCAAACTTGACTTTTGCACCCATACACTGGGCATATTTTGGAGCTCCCACTTCTGGTTAGTTGTTTAATTGTTCACCCCCATTCATGACCGGATAAAGCAGATCTATACAGCACAGAGCTGATCTATTGGTTGTGGGATTACTTAGCGTTGTCTACTGCATGCTGCCTCCAGTGTTTGATATGTAAGTTTTATCTTTACTGTTTTTAGGTATGCCTGAGCTGATAGATTTTTTTCTTATTGTTGGCTCCCTCACCATCTGCTGCCCTTTAGAATTCAGTTAGCTTAGCAAATAGTGGTGCCTCCAAGCCACTCCTAGTGATGCCTGTTGAAGAATTTCATCCAGGGTACATTCTGTGTCCTTGCCACCCTTGGTCCTTCCTCCTCATGGAGAAGTACAGATTTCACATCTGCCCAGAGAGGGTGTTGGGGCAGACTAGCTGGTAATCAACAAGTTTCCTTGTTGATCCAATCCCATGAAACTGCATGGGCTCTGAAGTCAATATTCAGAACTTGCATAGCAGCTCCTTCCTGACAGTATACCACATCTGGTGGTGGTGCTGCTGCCCAGCCAGTACAGCAGGGCATAGCCAGGGATGGTGATGGTGGCATCTGGGATATTGTCCACGAGGTATGATTCCATGACTGTGTCAGGTTGTTGTGTGACTAATCCATGGGACAGCTCTTCTAAATTTTGCCCCAGATGCTGGTAAAGACTTTGCAGAATTAACTATGCTGTGTTTGCCAATCTTGTTTCTGATGCCTGGGTCAACGACATGTGGTTGTCAGCTTCATTCTTCTGTTTAGACTTTGTAACGGCTTTGATATAACTGAGCATCTTGCTATGCCGTTTCAGAGGGCATATAGGTTTGAGGTGATATACATGAATGCTGTTTAATGGGCTGGGGCAGTTGGAATCTGAAGGGAGTATTTGCTAAATGGGCAGGGGAATGAAGGAAAGCAACTAGACAAGCACTCTACCTTAATGACAAACTTTTCACACCTGCTGTTGAGGCAAGAATGGATAGAGGAAGGGATTCAAGAGGACGCTGATGGTGGTGAATCTTTCCACTTCAGGATGGCCCTGTTGTATTGGTACTTTTGGTAGTGGACAGCAAAGTCAGATAACATTTGAGGAGGTGGTGTCAGGTTTGCTGACAGATGGTAAATATAGCTTGTCAGAGAATTATAATTCAGAGAAGCCAAGTAGTTTATGGGTTGTTTACTGACTTGGGGATTAATCATAGTCTCATCCCGCACCTCATCAGTTGTTGGCTGAAAATAACACTGACATTCGCCAGGCAATGAACTACAAGTTGCATGTCAAAAACTTCAGAAATGTAGATTATTAAAGCGCCCATTTAAAAATCAATTTTACATTATGTTAGACAAAAGACACTCAATTGCCCAGTACAATTCATGAAAGAAGTGGTACATAGTGCGGAGAAAATGATTTGGATACAATTAAGTCTTGGGTTAATTATGGTTTAAAATATCCAATCACGTGGCTGAGAGAATAGGCCTAGTCATGTACAATTCTGAAAAAAAATCACATTTGAAATTGAGGTTGTGAAATGGAATGAAGTGTCAACCTTCAATAAAAGATATGAACTATCCATCAATGAAGCTTCAATAACCATGCCACCAAGCAAAATATTGCCGCTCTGGTGGTTGACGATGAACCCTTACTGAAAGAGCAGAGAAATTTGGTTCTTTTCATGACCACAGATTAGTGATGGCTGATTAGAACAAATTTTGCGCTATTCATCTGCATTTTCCATAGAACCTACAGGATTGGGTAAAGGGAGAAATGAGTACAAGAATCTGCTTCTATAAAAGAAGTCGTTACTCTACTTTTATACAGATGCACTTCTCACTCTGAAGTAGAACTGACAGCTGATGATCTAATACTTGATCTAGAGTTGTTTTAAAAAACCTGTTAAGATTTTATAAATTTAGTTTAACCCAAGTTGGAATTTTGCAACAAAGATCTCTCTTGTAGCATTCACTCAAAAACAAGGAAAGGGCTAACCTTCACAATGTGACAACTTATGAGTGGTGTGACATTCGAGTACTTCTATTTGTGCTATTTGAATTTTGGAAAGAACATAAGAACTAGGAGCAGGAGTAGGCCATCTGGCCCCTCAAGCCTGCCCCGCCATTTAATAAGATCATGGCTGATCTTTGAGACTCAGCTCCACTTACCGGCCCACTCACCGTAACAGATTGGAGATTTTCTGATATCTTTGACATACAAACATTAAAAGTCCCAGTAAATTCAACGTAAAATGTAATACAATTGATATGTTCATGTGTGGAATGAACTTCCTGAGGAAATGGTGGATGCAGGAACAACTGCAATGTTTAAAAGATATTTGGATATGTACATGAATAGGAAAGGTTTGGTGGGATGAGCCAGGAGCAGGCAGGTGGGACTAGTTTAGTTTGGGATTATGTTTAATATGGACTGATCGACTGAAGTGAATTCCTGTGCTGCATGGTTCTATCACGATGTGATTCCTGATCATAAAATTTTTCATCTCCCATTCCTCATTTATCAGAGAATTCTTAATATGATGGAAACAAATGCAAAAGGAGCAGCCAAATTGCCAAAGGTCTGACAGAATTAACTTGATTGAGCATTGACAAATTTTGAATATTGCAGAAGATGACCTTCAAGGGATTAAGCCTCATTGTGACTGGGAAATAGTACTAGTGGGTACTGACCTTGCAACCTAAAGTCAGATGTCAAATTCCACTCTAAAAATTGTGAACATGAATTCACTTAATAGAATTGGTCGTTTATATTCAGAAAAATTGATGGCCATTGCAAAATCTAACTTGCACAATGTTCTTTATGCCACTCCTACTCAAGCTAATTTACACCTAATTAGAGACCCACGATGCCCTAAATCAACTAAGCAAGACACTTAAACAGAACAGAACCAGAGAGTAATGACTGAGACATCAAGTGTGGGGAAATACAAGTTCTCCTCATCAGTAGCTGGGGACTGGTGGCCAATTGAATCCATTATCCCACAGATGAGTTGTACTTACTAATTAATTTTCTCATTCTCCCACCATCCCTCAGTATAACCTGTCCTATCAGCAAGAAAGGCTAGTCAAAAGTGAGGTCAGAATGACATATTCAAATGACTATGGTCTCTGAACTTTTCAGCATCTACTTTGAATCCAATTAAGTCTCAGGTTAAAAGGTCAGGGAAATTATTGTAATTACTACTGATTGCATCGTGATTTGATGAATCATTACTTTGCAATGATGAATGTGTCTTGAAGGAAACATTCAGAAAGTCACCAATCTAACAGACTTGTATATGTAGTAGAAATTGATAAGAGTGCTTTGCTGTCAATAGGTACACCCCATTCTGTGCTATGTGGACAAACTAAGGGTAGACATAGGTAGCCCAAAAACTGGGCATTCAAGAAACAAGACATCTATACATCAAAAACCTAGCAGACCAAAGTGATTATGATGGGGAATAAAGCAATTGTGCCAGGCACTGTCTAGCACATCTCATGAGCAGCAGACCTTGTAATGCGACTAGACATTTAGCTTTGGCAAGATAAGTCTGCATAATTATCCTCATTCCCAAGTATGATAATGGCCTGGGTATGAATGCAAGAGAAAAGATCAAAATATTAAAAATGTCCAGAGTCAAAAGTGTCATGGGTACACTCATTATTCTGAAATTTATAAAGACACCAGCATCCAGCATATTTGGTTCAAATAGTGAGATTAAAAAGTCAAAAGTGGCACAGATGCTGGATACAACAAAGCCTACTGACTCCAACACTATGGTTCTGAATACCTGTACGCCAGCATCAGAAACCACCTACCAGAGCTTTCAGTGTACTTGTACACTGGGACTATCCAATGGTATTAATGTAAGATAAAGAAGTTTAGCAAAGATTAATACCAGAAGCACTAAGTTCAGAAGAGATATCTCCTGTCACTATTTTCACCTCCATACTCAACCAATTTGATTTTTAAAAAATTCTATTTTCATCTAGAAAATTAATGTTAGTTTGATTGCTTTTCACAAACTTTAAGCCATCAAATAATGCAATTTCCATAATAATTTGTTTTAGCTTATGAAAAAGCTATATTTTACTGATTAAGATTTAAAAACCTTTTTAGCTTTTCCAAAGCATTCTTACAGAAATGAAAATGAACAGACTGAAATACAAATCTGCAATTGTTCAATACTGTAACTGAGCTAAATCAAACTAAACTAAATATGGAATTATAAATAAAATTGAAAATCAAATTGGTTCAGCTCTAAAAAGTGAGTTCAATTGTAACTAAAGATATAAAGCAAAGTTAAACAAAGGGTGATCGTAGAAATAATGCAGAAAATTCCCTTACCTAGAAACGAAATTTGTTTTACTGAGATATGAATTATACCTAAGTAGAGGAAAATTCAGAACAAAATAGGCAATATTAATGTCACTGAAATTAAATAATCAGGGCTAGGCAAGCTCTATCCAAGTCTATCAGGTACTGACTATAATACCTTCTGCGTTGCCGAGATACTTAAGTCCACAACAGAGATAATCGAGGCCTGGTCAGATTGGATACCAACAGCTGATTAAGGGTTAGGCAAATTATTTTTCCTATAAATAATATTAATTGTAATGAGTAACAGAATATTGTAATGTGCCCATATTAATTTATGAGAATTGTAATGGCAATTACTATTAACCTAAATCCATAAGAAAATATTTGCAATTCATTTAGCCAGGAACATACCCAAAAGAAAGACAGACAGTCTCTAAATGCTGTAATTGCAAATAATAAAACAAGATGATTTCTGAAGAACCATAATTTTTAGGAGCTAAACTTGCACATTGTTATTCTACATAATTGCATCTGGCAAAAAGTTTAAAATGCTCTCACATCTTTTAAGTCACACAGCAACTGCTCCAGTGCACCCAAATGTTGCAATGTCGTTTTTGTTTAAAAATTGAGTTATCCAACGAAATAACACTAAAATGTGAATTAAGAACAATTCAAATTGTTACTTTTAAGCAACAGCACACTGTAGGCCCTATTTCTATTTGAATAATGTGCTCAATGAGGAACTATACTGGAATGCTACCAGCACAATATTTCAAAGAAGGACAGCTGTTTAACTTCAGATGCCATCAGCAAAAGGTTTTGGAGAAATTCTTGTACATCAGTCGCTTCATTGATTAAAACTTTGGTTTAGGTAGTTTAAATACAGATTTTTAGTATCTTAAAAGATGAAAGTCTATCATCTGACTGTGTCAAGTAGATAGAACTGAGACTAACTTTAAGAAAAGATACTATGGCAACATATAGGAAACAAAATCTTTAAAGATAAATTACAGATTTGTACAATGGGAACCTCAACCAGGGATTCTTCACTCTATTCAAAAC